TCCCCCGCCCCCCTTCTCGGTCCGGCTGTGAGTAGAAAGCACACCGCGTTCCGCCGCCCCGGGCGGGGGCTGGGCGGCTCCCTGTCCTCCGTTACCGACCGCCGTTCTCACCACAGCCGAGTTCGCTGAAATGGTAGCCGGTTACGGGATAAAGAGGCGCTGCACCCAGGGGCCATTTTGGGGGGAATCTAAGTGGGTGAAAAAGCCTAATTGGGTATCGGATCTCTGACGTTTGCATCAGTATTAAATTTATTAAGTTGTAAGGCCTCAGCTAGTTCCTTTTCTGATGCTTTCAGTTATGATTTAAATAGTTATGCTCAAATATTAGATACTGAAATGTTTATTTCATACTAATTGCCTAAGTTAAAACCCTCTGAAGTAATGAAGTAGTTTTAAAAATACAGTGTCTATTTTTTAAAACGTATTTTTATGAAATTAAATACTGTAAAACTTTGAGCCCAGGAAGTAGTGCCCTAGAGTAAGTGCTTAATAACTTGCTAGTAGTTTAGAAAATATTGAACAAACTCTAGTCATTTCTTAAATAACCTTGATTAACACCTAGAAAAGGCAAATAGGACTCTTTTAAATGTATGTAGCTGCGGAAATTATTTTGGAATGTCAGTGTAAATGTAAACAGAATGGGTCCTTAAGTCCTCTGTAGCATATTAGCCCTTGGGAAGTGTCATAATGTCAGGCCTTGTTTCTTAGATCTTTTTCCTTTAGTCTTTAAAGGGTGATTTTCTTTTTCCTTTTTAAAAATATGTTTATATTGATATTTAGAGAGAGGGGGAGGGAGAGGGAGAGAGAGAGAACATCCATTGGCTGCCCCCTGCACGCTCCCTGCCGGGGAAGGAGCCTGAAACCCGGGCCTGTGCCCTGACGGAGAATCAAACCTGTGACCCCCTGGTGCAGGGGTGTGCACGCAGCCACCAAGCCCCTGGGCTGAAGGCTGGCTTTCTAGATGATCATACTTGTGTTGTCCCGCTTCCTTTCCCAGGATTTCTCTAGTCCAGTGATGGTGAACCTTTTGAGCTCGGCGTGTCAGCATTTTGAAAAACCCTAACTTAACTCTGGTGCCGTGTCACATATAGAAATTTTTTGATATTTGCAACCATAGTAAAACAAAGACTTATATTTTTGATATTTATTTTATATATTTAAATGCCATTTAACAAAGGAAAATCAACCAAAAAAATGAGTTCGCGTGTCACCTCTGACACGGGTGTCATAGGTTCGCCATCACTGGTCTAGAGTACTAGAGTGTAGAGTTCTGAATTTGGTTCCCTTTTTGTCCAGTAAACCCTCACATCGTGAAAGATTCTTTTTGTGCTCTTCTTTAATGGAATGGGGAGAAAATGGTATTTTAAATTATAAAGACGACAAAATCTCCATTGTTGGTCAAGTACATGGGTCTTTAAAAGTGCCAAGAAAAATAACTGAATTCTCCAAAACTCAAAGGAAATCACCACTGTTTTAGCAGGAATGCATATAGTTCTTAAAGAATAAGGGTTCTCAGCTCACCTTATATTTTTTACTTCTTTTTTAAAAATATATGTTTTTACTGATTTCAGAGAGGAAGGGAGAGAGAGAAAGAGATAGAAACATCTGCCAAAACCGGTTTGGCTCGGTGGATAGAGCGTCGGCCTGCGGACTGAAAGG